AATCATGACTCCTGCTCAGGAACCTTTCCCCAAATCCCTGTGACCCATCCCCCTGCCTGCTCCAGCTCTCCCCAATTTAGAGTATTCTTCTCTCTGCTGACAGACAGCTTGTTAGGTGGGGATTAAAGGAGTCCCCTGGGTAATGTGCAATTCAACAGGGATGTCTCCAGACACTTGCTTCCCCAGAGGGATGGGTGGCCAATAGAAGACAGTTTTCAATTCTATAAACAGATCATTGACCACCTGTGACAGTCAGGGCACTATTGGGCCCCACAGAGGAGATTGGGAGGAATAAGACACAGTCTCTGCTCTTCCAAATCTTCCAACCCAGAAGGATCAAATGAGCTCTCCCAAACCAAGTCGTGTGGAACTCGTGCATTGAAAGTCTCATAAAATGCCAGGGAAGAGGTGGCCTCTCAGCCAGGCCTTGAAGGAAAGAGGACAAACTCACTGACAGGCAGAGATGCATCAGGGGACCAGATGGCTACCCACTCCCCTCTTTCCTCAATCAGTCAGGCAGGCCTATTCCTCTAACTACAACAGAATGAAAAAGGGTAGCCCCTAGTTAATAAGAGTTATGTATTCCAGCAAGCTCCCGCTCCTGGGTTGTGTTTATAGTCTTCATGGGGGCATTAGTAACCCTGACTAAGGACCTGGGGATGCTGTGTAATCCCCTCGTCCTTGGACCTCAGAGATCTCCTCCTGAAATAAAGACAATGGCTTGCCTTACATGGCTATTGAGGCTCCAAGGAAATTGGGCAGCTTTTAGTAAACGAAGAAGAGCTGGTTAGCTGGTACATTTGGGTGTGAGCCAAGGAATGTGGGGGTCAAGGGTCAATCTTTGGGGGTGGCTGGTAAGTTTTTCTCTGTTCCTGAAGTGCAAAGCAATGTTCACTAAACCTATCCGGCAGCCTCAAACACGGAAGCTGCCGTTCACAAGGGAGTTGGGGTACAAGAACGTGTGGATGGCTTGGTGCCATTTCATCCTCCTTGCTGTTCAGACATGCCTATAGACAGGTCTCAGCATCAAAGGGCCTTCCCTAACCTGGTTTAGGGGCTGGGCAAGTGCCCCTCCTCCACACTCCTCCACACCCTCTGTCAAGCACTCTTCACACTGTATTATAATACTGGATTAGCAGATGATTAGGCTATTTCAGAGCAGAGGTGCATTTTATATGTGTTTTTTACTAAGGAATGCTTAGCACACAGTAGACCTCCAAATATTTGTCCAATGACTAAATGGACACAAAATCCTTCCAAGTTGCCAGCCTGTTCAAACTGCAGTTGTTTGGTTCTTCCTCTGCCTTTGCAAATAAGAACCAGCATTTCTCAGTCTGTACATGGTCCTGTTGTAAGTTCACTCCCTGGCAGTTAAATTGATCTGAGCAGCCCAAGTATCAGCAACTTACCTGGTCTTCTTTGCTGGCATGGCACAGGCCAGGAGCTCATTTCTGGGTCCCTAAAGTCACCCTTTCTGCCTGTAGTTTAAGTAGGTGAAGTATATGGTTCAGAGGCAGTAAAATAAGCAGGTCACTCAAGGGGAAAAAAAACTGCAGGAAAAAATCCCACCCCACAAGCAAACAGTTGAATGTTTGAATGCAGATTACTGCATTCTTGGGAAGGTCTTTCTGCCATCTGCAGAGGCCCAGGGAGCAGATAGTTTACACTGACCTTCTCAAAGACCTTCCTCCCATTCCATACGGCCCTACCTCCACACTTGCTGGGTCATTTCCTCACTGGCCATACTCAGCCCCTCCTTCTCAATCCCCAATCATATTTGCAAAGTGGCCCCTAGTTAGGCTCCTCTCTTTATATCCCTGAGGACCAGGTACAGAATCCCTGGCCTGTGACTGTGGAAAAGTCATGGCACCTCTTTCTGAACCTTAGTTTCCTATTAGTCATTCGGAAACAACAACAATAACAAAGATAGTACTTCACAAGGTTATTCCGAGGATTAAATGAAATGCCAAATTCTCTGGCACATGATTGGACGTGTGCAGGTCCTTCTGCCTCCCATGCAGTTACCCCTGTTTCTGCACATAAACCATCTCAGTCTGCCCTACCAGGGCTAACGGCAACCAGACTCACAGAAAACAAAGGAAACTCCCTCCTCCGGGGTGAAAGGAAGGAGGAAGGATCTACTTTAATGGCCTCGGAAGGTTGCCTGCCAGTTGCACAAGCTGGTGAGAGGGTGAGAAACAGGCAGCAGTCAGAAGGTAGTCTTTAGAGCGGAAGCCAGTGACCTGGGTACTTCTATGCCAGCCATGTGATCTTGCAGCAAGTCCTCTTCCTTGTCTTGACCTCAGTTTCCTTACCTATGGAACAGGGTCAGCCTCTCTGTCCTACCTACTCCACAGGGTCTTTGAGGAGGCTGTACAGACACATGGGACAGTGGTTAAGGGTAGGGGCCCAAAGAGCCTGGGAGTTGAGTGGGCATGGACAGGGTCAGATGCTGCTGCTGCCATGCCCTAGGCCCTGTTTTAAGACCCCCCACACCAGTCCCCACACAATACTTGGCTCCCACCTTGACAACTTTCTTTTGCTGCCAACCAAATCTTGCTTTTTGGAAGCAAGAATGTCTCGCTCCTGTTCTAGAGGCTCTTACAGAGAAACTGCCTGTTCTAGTTTATGTTTCTCTTCCTTTCCAGCTCTGCAATTCACCTCCTTCAGGAAACCTTCCTAGATTAGGCATATCCAGCCTCAAAGAGTTTCCTTCCAGCAGAGGCCCAGCATTTGAGTAAACTCCTGGAGGGCAAAGGCCACAGCTTGTTCTTCTTTATGGCTAGTGCCTAGCATGCAGTAGGCACTCAGGAAATAACTACTAGTGAAATCTGTACATTTCGGATTGGTTCACAATGGTTAAAGTTGCTGTGGCTAAGAATGCCCCACTAGGCAGCAGAGCCCTGGCATCCCATGTGGGACTAGAAGCCTCAGTGGCCAGGGGCCCTGTCTTTCTCTGTTACAGTTTGTAACAGAGATATACAAACTGTAACCCAAGTGGTGACCAGCTAGCTCCATTCAAGCACCTTGCTTAATGCTATTGCACCATGATTTCAGACAGTGGGGCAGGGTAGCATGGTGGTTAAGAGCAAGGGCCTTGGTGTTTGGATCCTGGCTCAGCCACTTACTAGCTATGGGACCTTGGGCAAGAAACTGCTCTGGATCCTGATTTATTTTTCACCGAAAATAAGAAAAAATACCTCTCTCACCTAGTTAAGAAAAGGAAATGAGAAAATGCAGTTAAGTCATTAGCACTGTGGTTGGCACATATATTAAGTGCTAAATAAATTGAGGTTTAGTCGGGCTCGGTGGCTCAGCCTGTAATCCTGTGCTTTGGGAGACTGAGATGAGTGGACTGCCTGAGCCCGCGGGTTCCAGTCCCGCCTGGGCAACTTGGCGAGACCTCATCTCTACAATAAATCAAAAAATGAGCCAGTTCCAGATACTTGGAAGGCTGAGGTGGAAGGATTGCCGGAGCCTGGCAGGTCGAGGCTGCGGTGGCCGGGAGCGTGCCACTGCACTCTAGTCTGGGCGACAGAGTGAGACTCCAACTCAAAAATAAATAAATAAATAATAAATTGAGGTTTAGTTAGTATTATGTCATGAGACTTGACCCCTGGCCCCAGCAGCAGCCTGCTGCCCAGAACTGCCTTCCATTTCCCTTTCCTCTCCTCTGTGTTCAATATTGGCTTTTTCTTCTGCAGAACACAATACACAAAGAAAGCTCAGTCAGGCAAGGAAGAATTACCTGGGGGTGGGGGATAGAAATATGGACAGTGAAAAGTTAACCCTTCTTCTCATAGTCAATCTAGTCAACTACCTAGATCACCCCTTCCAGGAAGAGGTACCCTACCACTGGGTTTTCCAGTTTTGTTTTTCCTCCTTAGGCCTGTTCAACCTCCAGGAGGAACAGGACTCCAACCACACTCATTGAGTTGAATTCAAATGGTGAACCCAAGCCACTTCCTTGTTGTATATTCCGAATCGGGCACCAAAAGCTGCTGGTATTTAACAAATCTTGTGCACAGGAGCACAATTTAACAACACCACCACAAAAGATACAGAATGCCCCATTATGTTCGAATTTTAGATAAACAATTAAAAACTTTTCAGTATCAGTATGTCCCATGTAATATCTGCAATAAATTGGGATAAACTAAAAAATTATGAATTGTTAATTTGAAGTTCAAATTTAACAGGGCAACTATATTTTACCTGGAAGCTACCCAGGCACTCCTACCCAAAGGCATAAAGATTAAATAAAGTCTTCCTGCTTCACTGCTTACGGTCTTCACCAGCTTTCTAACCAGCCACCCTGGAAACATCCCTCCTTGCAACTCCCAAGCAGAGCAGATGTGCCAAGTAGGAGCTCTTTCCTGAGCTGCTGAGTCCAGTGATCTGCCTTGTCAGAGCACCTAGCACAGTGCCAGGCACATTGTCGGTGTTCAAAAGACATCTCCCCAATTCATTCCAGGCTGCTGGATCTCTAGTACTGGACCTGGGAGAGTGTGAATGTGTGGGGCCAGGCCAGCCTTGACTGGGGTGGGGGGAGTTCCAAGAGCAGCATGGCTGGGATGGGGGTGGGGAGGTCACCACCACCCACTTCCTGGAGTTGTTTTGACGATCACTGAGAAAATAGCCAGGGAAATGTTCTGAAAATCCCTGGGTGGCACATAGGCTATTATCAAGACCTTTGAGTGGCCTGTTTTACCACAGGGCTTCAGCCCTCACTCTTCCCTAGGGAAAAGCACAGACAGGGAAGTTTCAGAAGCACGAGCAAAGCCAGCGCCTCTGGTCACTGTAACAAGGATGACTAACGTCTATCCAGCACGGTGTGATTTGCCTCTCTAGAGGCCTCACCATCGGCCGTGGTGAGGGCGGGGTAGGGCCCGTTTTCCAGAGGGTGGTCAGGGCAGCCTGCCCCAGGCCCTGCCTCGGAGCCGGGGGTCTGGTCCAAGAGGCTGAGGGCCCACTGGTGTGGGGTCGGGGACAGGGCCTACCTTCTGGGCCAGTTGGATCATCTGCCTGACCACCTGCTTGAGGTGCGGCGCCGTCTCCTCCTTGGGCGGGTGGGTGAAGAGGGTGACGCGGCTCACGCCACGGTAGAAACTGGTGTCCGTCCAGCCCAGGTCCAGCGGGGGTACCTCGGTATCCGAACGGTCGGGCCAGTAGGCCAGGGACTCGCCAGGCTCGGCCGGGGCCTGCGCAGGGGCCTTGGCCTTGGCCTTGCTCTTGCCCCGGGCGTTGGCGGCGGGGGCTGCGTCCTCGTAGGGGCTCCAGGCGTCGCGGAGGGCCTGGCGCTCCTGGCTGGACAGGAAGTCCCGCAGCTGCTCCTTCTTGACCCGCTCGCGGTAAGCCTGCTCGCCGCCGCCCAGCAGCGCCTCCAGGGCGGCCCGCCGGCGCTCGCAGTAGTAGAAGGCGGCCTGCGCCTCGGTCACCCTCTCGTTCACGTGCGCCTCGTCCAGGCAGCTCAGC